TATAATATATATAAATATATGAAAAATTGATGTGGGTATTCAAATGAAAGGTCTCGATGAGTGTAACATCGGGATGAGCTTATATCTTTAAAAATGTCAATATTTCACAAGATACAAGGTCATTTTTTAATTATGTATCTGGAAATAGTGAGAAAAAATCGATTTTATGATATGACTATCCTGGATACAAAATTTTTCTTATTTTTTTAATAATATTGATTAAATAATTAAAATTGAAGATACCAAAGATTTTTTATTTCAATTATTAAAAAGGAAAAATTGAATATTTTATGAAAGTAAAAATCTAAAAAAAGTTTTACAAGTAAAACTTTAATTATAGTTGTTACTTAATAATTAAAGTGTCTATTTATTCCCTCATTGACGATACCAACATTGAATAAATACTCTCTTTGAAGTAAGCGAGCATGCAAGTAGCAAGTAGCAAGTTTGGAGTAAGCAAAGAACAAGTAAAACTTTTTCATTACAATTCTTATTATGTAATAGAATAAAATAATGTAAGAGTAAAGCTTGTGTAATATTGTAGGTAGATATAATACCCCTTTTTTGATGTATTTTACGTACTCACATGGGTATGATATGATATGGTATGAGCGTCTCGTTGAAACGACAACGAGGACTCGGCGTCCCCTTCTGTCAGGGTTATAGCTCCATCAATAATTTTAATACTTACATGGTCATTTGTCTATAGACTTGTTCACAAGACTGTTTGAAAAGTCCATCCACACTATCATTGTTCATTATTACATATAATTTCACTTTCAGTATATGTTGTATTTTATTATATTATTATCATTATAATGCAAACGCATGTAAGCATGTCTAAAAGTTTTTATTATCCAACAAGACATATACCGTCGAAAGAAAATAAAACTTTTGAATTAAAAATTAAATGCTTTACCATCAAACGCAGGCTTCGTTATTTTTCAAACGATTATTTTTATTGTTGCTTACTTTTTATTGTTATAGAACTATAATTATCATTATTTTTTAATTAAAATTTGTCATTTTTATTTTTGCTAATTTAATAGTAATTATTTACAATGTTTTTATTAACTTAATAAAAAATTCTATTCAGAAAAAATTTTGGGCTTCGTGTGCTAGCACACACATTTTGCTCGTTGCGTCAACCTAATTCTCTTAATTAAATAGTTAAATAAATTGTCAATAGATTGCGCTGTATGCTTTTATAAGAAGTTTATTTTATTAATTTTTTTTAATAAAATTTTTTTAGATATTTCTTGATAATAGCGCACCGAAAAAAAATTTTGCGTCATTGCGGCAAAAAACTTATATACACAGAAAAATTTTTTTTTCGCTCAAGAAAATAATTAGGAAGAAAAATATTTTCTTGGCTCAAATGAACCTTATTTTCTGTGTAGTATTAAAAATTTTTGTGTTAAAACGTTTAACACAAAATTTTTTGACGCAAAATTTTTTACTGTGCAGGAATAATTATTAAAATAATATTTTAATTTCTAAGTTTAGTAAATAATTATAATAGATCTAGATCTAGATCATTAAAATTATAAATATTAATACCTTAAGTTTAATAAATTATTTTTAAATATTTATTACATTATATTTTCTTACAAGACATATTATATGTTATAAAGAAAAAATAAAACTTTTAAATAATAAATGAAATGCTTTAGCATCAAACGCAAGCTTTATTATTTATTAACCGATGATTTACTGTTAGTAATTTTGTTTTGATTATTATCGCTTAGTCTTGCCATAGTTCTGTGGCTCAAATGAACCTTATTTTCTGTGTAGTATTAAAAATTTTTGTGTTAAAACGTTTAACACAAAATTTTTTGACGCAAAATTTTTTACTGTGCAGGAATAATTATTAAAATAATATTTTAATTTCTAAGTTTAGTAAATAATTATAATAGATCTAGATCTAGATCATTAAAATTATAAATATTAATACCTTAAGTTTAATAAATTATTTTTAAATATTTATTACATTATATTTTCTTACAAGACATATTATATGTTATAAAGAAAAAATAAAACTTTTAAATAATAAATGAAATGCTTTAGCATCAAACGCAAGCTTTATTATTTATTAACCGATGATTTACTGTTAGTAATTTTGTTTTGATTATTATCGCTTAGTCTTGCCATAGTTCTGTTTATTTAATAATTATAATGAGCGATGAAAAGATTATTAAACAAAATGATAGGTATTAATATTTATAAAATATGAATGAAGAAATGACAGAATATATTACCTTAAAACACAGATATAGCGTGATGAACAAGTCATGAAATTATCTTGTCATTTTAATGAGTCCGCGTGAGTTTTCATCGTGTTATTTCTGGTAACATAAGCTATATATAAAGTAAAGTGTGTATATAATATGTCTGGCACGCGAGCAAACTATTATAAAGATATACACTTGTCATTTAGGAATCCTCTTTTCCTCAATTTGGATTTATGTTGGATGTATTATATTTAAATACATGTGTCGCTGTCGTACCTCGGAGAATTATTTCCATCTCCATCTGCGTGTGTAATAATGTTATTATGTATATATTATATGGACATATGGACATTATACTTATATGTATAATCGTGAAAACGGGACATTTATGCATAAATGGGTGAAGACAGTTCATTTTTTATACGCTTTTAATTTTGTTTAAATTTCCGAGCGAATGTAGTCAAGTCATCAGGGATTATTATGTTTATGTCTGTATGAATAAATACCGCACGTGCGGGATTATTAAAACCGACGGTAATTATATGTGGTCAATTGCAAAATAAGCAATAGTGTTGTCATAAGAAATTAAACGTCATGTTCGTATATAATAAAGTCTGCTCATTTATTTTTTTAAGGATAAATATTCAGTTATATATTACGGTGAATTTTTTTTATATACAATAGAAAAAAGGTTTTTTTTATTTAATCTTGATAGAAAATGTTATTTAATTTTACAACAAAATTACTTTATTTGAAATAACTTTAAAAGTTTTTTAATTGAACAAAAATTATTGTTTTGAACTGAGATAAAAATTATATTGATTTATAATTTTTAAGAGTTCAAAAAACCATACTTTTATTTTGATTTATTAAAAAAAATATGAATTTATACAATTTAATTAAATTAGAAAAAAAAATAAATTCTTCATTTATTTACTAAAATAAAATCAGTTTTTTTTTAATTTATTTAATTAAATCTTTAAAACTTCTTAACTTTTTAAAAATAGACTAAAATTTGAACTTTTAACTTTGACTAGCAATAATTTGACTAACTATGTGACTGCCATGACTTGTGAATTATACAAAATTAAAATTTTGCTTTATTACACAGCGACTTTCGTTAAATTACACTGTACTTTCTTAAACATTGACGATTTTAAGGATATATAAGCTCATCCCGAGGTTACACTTATCAAGAGCTTTCATTTTTCATACATACATATATATAATATATATAAATATATGAAAAATTGATGTGGGTACTTAAATGAAAGGTCTTGATGAGTATAACATCGGGATGAGTTTATATCTTTAAAAATGTCAATAGTTCTCAAGATACATGGTCGTTTCTTAATTATATTAAATTGCACTGTATGTTCTTAATTATTGACATTTTTAAAAATATCAGTTCATCCCGATGTTACACTCATCAAGAGCTTTCATTTGAGTACCCACATGCATTTTGATATATTTTTCATATATTCATATATATAAATGTATAAAATATATGAAAAATTGATGTGGGTACTCAAATGAAAGGTCTCGATGAGTATAACATCGGGATGAGCTTATATTTTTAATAATTTCAATGTTTCACAAGATACAAAGTCATTTCTTAATTATGTATCTAGAGATAGTGTATTTTCGAATGCAGCCTAAATACTTATCATAATAAATTGACTATTGGTGAGAATGAAATGAAACCTTGAAAAGACACAAATTCAAATCAAGACCTTTGCAATGACAAAATTTTTCTTATTCTCTTAATAATATAGATAATCCATTTGATTTTTCAAATCCTCATTAATTTCCAAAATAATTCAAAAACTCCAATAAATGCATATTTATATTTCCCTCACTTGAACTTAATCAATAATTTTATACCATCTTAAAAATTACCTAAACCCAAACACAAAAAGTGTTTACATCTCAAAAAAAAAACTTTAATTAAGTCATATATAATTTACCAAAAAATTTTTCAACCTCCCAATTCTCTATCACAAAAAAGGCAAACTTTGTTTAAAAATAAAAGGTGAGAAAACTTTTAAGTAGACATCCTTGTCATATCACGTCTGTTAGCTGTCGAAAAGTTTACCGCTCAAGTGAACGCACGCTCACGAAATCCGTTCGTGTATTTTATTATAGTAATATATATATATATATATATATATATATATCCACCGAACATGTAATACATCAAATACTTTTTCCACCTAAAATTAAAGGGATGCATCACGCAAAAAAATAATCGGTTCTTCCCCAACACGTTCTTTAAACAAATATTTTTAATTTTATTTTTTTGTTTCCAAAAATGCAGGTACCGCGCAACCCTCATACCCCAGGAAAGGGGGCATATTGGGCCCTGCACCCAGCAGCACTGTCAATGTTCGAAAACGGGTCGTACCTGCGTCGCAGGAAGAGATTCAAGCTTCCAAAATCGCTGAAAGAAGAGAGCCAAGTGTTGGCAGAGACAGCAGCGAGACTGGCATCGAGCAACTCTAATTCCTGCTCGGAGTTCCCGGTCATAAATCACTACCCAGGCTCGCATCATCAATCTACCCATCATCACGACAATCCTCACCTTTATCAAGATCAAAATTTCGCATTAACTCAACGTCAGCTAGATTTTCTTAATTTTACATCAATAACCGGTCTCTCCTCCATAAATCACGATGAAGACAAACTCTCCCCCCGGAATTCGGGCCTCTCTTCAATGACAACCGATCACCAGTTATTATCTTCCTCTTCAAACATCGTTGCAATGGAGAGCGAAATCTCCGGAGCAACAATCGGAACCAGGGATCCAGATCGAGAGAGGGTGACGATAAAAAAACCAAAGCCTCTTGTGTGCAAACCGGCGAAATCATTCAATATTGAAAGTATCATCAAGACCAGTAGCCCGAGCGAGCAACGACCCTCTAGGTAAGCACTATAAACATAATATGGTACTTTCGTTAACAACCAGTTAGCAAAATGTCACTGAGTTATATTGAACAGGACAGTAATCCTTGTCGTTACCCTCCGATGACTAAGTGCATGTACTTTGTTTATTGCTGTGTATTTATATTGGTACCTTCACATCAACAGGACTTATCAATGTGACGGATGATGATATTGGGGGACAAATATTATTTTATTGTAATGTATTTATTATGCACATAATGTTTATAATATATATGTCGGTATGGATATATGGGATGTATAATACAATGCTTATACAAGTAATATAACATCGGTCTTACATACAATACCAATCAGCTTTTTCGCATGAAACACTACACTAGCGTGACATGTTATACGCGGTAATAACATACGCTAACGACTAATAACATAAATTATACACTGAGTTTTCAGATAGGCTGTTTAGTATTTTTTTTTTTTTTGTTCAGAAAAATTAACTATTGAGATATTTGTCACTGTAGCGAGTTTTTTATAATCTAGAAGAAAAAAAAGTTTGAATGGTAAATTGGGACGCGAAAATTAAAATTGCATGAATTTAGATTGTACAGTGGAATAATAACTATATATAGTTGGTTCAAAAATAATTTCTTTATTCAAAATAACAAAAAAAATTTTTACTCATTTTAAAAGTTGTTGAACACTTATTTTTGGTATCAATAAGATACTTTTGAGAATTGTTGGTGTTTTTGAAACAAGTCGATATTTAAAATCAAGGTTACTGTGGAATGAAATTTTTGGGAAAAAATATAAACTAAAACTTATTTAAAATACGCCAAAATCTTGAACCAAGAATACCATTTTAAAGAAGATGATTTTCATGAGTCAAGAGAATAAATTCTTGAAACAAGAAAATTTTCTTAGACCAAAAATAATTTAACTCAAGAATTTATTCTCTTGATTCAAGAAAATCATTTTTTATCAGTGTAGTAAAGCGCTTAAATAGTTAAATTTTTAATGATGAATTTTTTCTCTTTATCTTTTTAGTTTTATTTTGTATTTTTGAGCAAATTTGTTCAAATTAAATTCAAAACAAAGAGCGAAATTTTCAAAAGTATATTTTTTGTTTTAAATATAATTTCGACGTCTAATTAGCAAATTGTCTAACTCAATTTTAGAGAATCTTCTATTTGTACGAAAAAACAATTAGTTTAAAATTTAATATCACTTTAAAAAACCATTCAATATTTAATAGAGGTATAATATTTTGGTTTAGACCATTTAAATAACTTATACTTGGACTATTGCTGCATCAAAATGTTAAAAAATCACCCTTTAAAAAATAAGGAGTTAGATCAATTGCTAATGAGACCGTCGATTTAAAATTGACACAATTATAAAATAAAATATAAATTTTCAAATAATAATTTAAATTCATACCAAAAAATTCAAAATTAATCTTTTCCCAAAAGTAACATTGCACAGAAAAAAAAAACGTTCTTGAATCAAGCATATAATTTTGAAGAACTTAATATTCTTGATTTGAGTACAAAAATTCTTGATTTAAAGAAATTTTACTTGATTCAAAAATTTTCCGTATTGATTCAAGACAATTACCTTCTTCAAAATTATATTGTTGGTTCAAAAATTTTTCTTTTGAATCAAGTTAATTTTTTTTTCAGTGTGTACCTCTTCAACAAATAAAATTTTTTCAACAATAAATATTGTTTCAGATTGGACCTAGAAACAATCGACCGCGATCCAGTCCCAGAACTTCCACTTCAAATTCAAGCCCAGAGCCAAAATCTTCTCCCCTGGCACTCGAGCTTATACTCAAATTTAAACCCCCTGGAAAACTACTCCCTCAACCTCAACCAAGCCGCAGCATTCTACGCCACAGCCCTCGCAACCGCGAATTTATTCGCCCTGCATCCAGGATACCCTTCAAAAACTTCTTTCACCGAAGGAATGATGAACTCTTCCTTGTACAACTTCTATCCAGGACTTCCAAGCCTTCTGAGACTGGAGCCTACGGCAGGTCTTCCGACACTGTTTCCTCCCAGCGCAGAAGAAGGCTCACTAGAAATACGGGAGGTCAATCCTTATGAAGATAATTGTAGCAAAGATTTAACGTGATGTGTTATTTAAAATTGTTCTTTATGAACTTCAGTCTTGTTGATGTTAATTGTTGATATTGTTGGAGAGAATGTAACATACATAATGAATTAATGAGTAGTAAGATTTATTTAAAATAAAAAATGTAAGTGTACTTTATTTGGAAAATCAGTCTGTAATAAAAAAAACAAACGATCTCTGTAAATTTACTTCGCTGGGAGTTAATTTTTTATTAGCCTCGTAAATCGTTAAAAATATGTTAGTTAAATTTTTAATTTGCGTGGAAAAGACTCTCAAGCATCTGCATACACATATAAAAAAAATATATAAATATCCTGTACATAATAAATAATAAAGTATGAAAATAATAATAAAAAATACGAGTGTTGTCTTTATGTTACAATAGATTCAGATGCGCGGTGCGATATCAATTATCGTTACTTAGCAGTTAAATCGCCGGATGGTAAGATCATAAAAACCGCGAGCTGGCAAACGCTTTAATGACGACTGTTTCTCTTTTTTATTTTTTTAAAATGCAATGTAGTCTACTCTTTTATATAACTCCTGTGTAAGTTTGTAAATTCAATTTTTTTATAGCCCATTTTTGTTTTATGAACAACTGTTTTTCATTTTTTAATTTGCATACATGCTACTCTTTAAAGTTTTATTTTTTCTGCATGTGAATCTGTTCGGCTGAATTTATTATTGTAGAAAAATAATAATTTTTAAGTTTAATCTGATTTGTTATTATTATTATTATTATTAATAAATGATAGTTGAAAAATAAATTGTTTTTATTTGGAATGATTTAATATTTTACCGGAAGGGGAAGAAATAGTTGTTTGCAAGATTCGGGAAAATGAAAACAAGTTTTAGTTGTTTATTGCAATGTTTACGAGGCCGTTTTTATAAATTTATTAGCAGCCATAAATATCGCGAATCTGTGTACTTTTATAGCTAGCCCTGAGGAACTTTTACGTATACGCCTGGTTGTGCATAAGAAAGTTTGTAGTAAACAATCTAATAAAAGTATCTCAATATTTTTATTCTGTTTTCTGAGTAACTAGATTGTTTTTTAAGCTATAAATTATTTATGCAAAAAATTATTTTGTAATAGTTATGGTAGATCTGGTCGTAAAACTATTTCATAATGCTTGTTTTATAAGTTTTAAATTCCCCGAATTTTTGATAGTTAGAGACACAGTAGTGCTGTACAATAATTATATGATCGAAGATATTTTATTTAATTTATTTATTGCGATTATCAGAATAAAATTCTCAAAGCAAATCAAGAAATTAAATTTTAGCGCAAAATTTTAAGAAAATTTTTGGACTAAAGATATTTTTTTAATTAAAAAAAAAATTATTATTATTTAAATAATCTATATTATTAAGAGAATAAGCAAAATTTTGTCTTCAGGATGGTCATATGATAAAATTGGTTTTTTTTGGGAAATTTAATGACATTGAAAAGGACTTGAATTTGTACCTTTTTAAGGTTTCATATCAACTGACCTTATATCTTGTGAACTGTTGATATTTTTAAAGATATAAGCTCATCTTGATGTTAGACTCATCGAGACCTTTCATTTGAGTACCCACATGCATTTTGATATATATTTTTCATATATACCTATATATAATTTATATAAATATATGAAAAATTGATGTGGGTACTCAAATAAAAGGTCTTGATGAGTGTAACATCGGGATGAGCTTATATCTTTAAAAATGTCTATAGTTAAAAAAGTATACAGTGGAATTTAACATAATTAAGAAACGACATTGTATTTTGTCAACTAATGACATTTTTAAAGATATAAGCTCATCCCGACATTACACTCATCGAGACCTTTCATTTGAGTACCCACATCAATTTTTCATATATTTATAAATATTTAGTTAAAAAGTATACAGTGGAATTTAACATAATTAAGAAACGACATTGTATTTTGTCAACTAATGACATTTTTAAAGATATAAGCTCATCCCGACATTACACTCATCGAGACCTTTCATTTGAGTACCCACATCAATTTTTCATATATTTATATATATTATACATATATGTATATATGAAAAATATATCAAAATGCATGTGGGTACTCAAATGAAAGCTCTTAATGAGTGTAACATCGGGATGAGCTTATATCTTTAAATACGTCAATATTTAAGAAAGTACAGTGCAATTTAACAAAATTAAAGATTTAAAAAAAAAAATCAGAATTAAAATTTTTGTGTTAACATTCACTTTTATTAAAACAAAATTAATTACGAAGAAAATATTTAATAAATTTTCATTTTACGGAAACTTTCAATCACTTTAAACTCAAGATTACCCTTGATAATAATCATTAAAAGTAATGATATATAAATTGACAAATAATATAACATTAAAACTATAAATAGCTCCAAACTTTTATTTCATCGGTTCGATAAAAAAGTTTGAGTTTATTACAATTTAAGCATTCATTACTGAATAATTTATCAAGTCGAGTATAAACAAGACCAAGATATAGTTGATATGATGCTTGTAAGGACGGTAAAAAATAGTATATAGAGGAGGATGAAACGAAAATTGATTAAGTAGAAGTTAAAAAGAAATTAAAAAGTAAATTTCAGTGGTTATTACTGCTCAGGTGAAACTAAAGGTATACTATATAATATATAATGGGACGGTTTAATCGAATGGAGGCGCAAAAAATGAGCGCGTCACCAAATGAATTCAGTTAATAATAACAAAACCAATAAAACTAAATAAATAAAGTTTAGCGAAAAAATAAAAGACTGAAAGAGGGATGCGAGGGATGGATATAGAATATAATACTGAGTGGAGTAAAAAAGCCCACGTGAAAGCAGACGACGTAATATCTATTAAATTATTCACAGCCAGTTACCAGCTCGTCAGTGAGACCCGCCTCTCTCAGTTTTTGTCCACGGCTGTATCCATTTGCCACTCGTTTGTCAAGAGGGTTCTTTTTAAACACTTTTTTACAATAAATACTCACTCTGGAGTATCTGATATATTTTTTAAAATTATTTATCTTTTTAGCTAAGAATAAAATTATTTAAAAAGCATAAGCGCATTTTGCAAGGGAACCGCAAAAGTGCGCAATAATAAATAAAATAAACGGCGCTTATCCAAAAAAAATGAAATTATACCCATAAAAAGAGGGTGAGGTTGATGGAAAAATAAAAATTGAGGTAAATCGATCTATATTTTTTCAGTCCCCGACCGCTGCGCTGAACCGTAAAACTGAGCGGCTAAGCTTCGCGCTTTCCGATCGGCAAATTGATATAGGGCATCGACATTCAGCAAACTTTTGCGGTAATAAAAAAATAATTGTCAGAAAAGGTGGTGGATGTTCATCTCCGGAATCGACTCGTGGGAGCGATAAGTTTTTTCCGGGCTTTTTTTTATCAATAACTCAATTTTCAATTTAAATTGATTTAATATTATTTTAGGAAAATTTATCGCTTCAGATGATGCAAGTTATTGCAACGTCATTTTTCTCCCTTCTAGCAAAAAATTAATTTTAAAAAATCGAGCGATTTTTTTTTATAAATAAAAATTTTTTTAGTTAAATTTACTTAGAAGGTTACAAAGATAAAAATTTCAATTTTTAATAAATAAACCAATTTTTTGCCAACTTATCGTGTCATAAATAAATTTTGTCCCAAGCTCACAAAAATTTTTTATAAAATAAAATTTTCAATTTTTTAAAATCAATTTTATTTAAAATTTAATAAAAAAATCTGAAAGAAGAAAAAAATTTTCAATTTTTAATAAATAAAACAATTAAAAATTTTTTTGCTAAATTATTTTGTCCCAAGTTCACAAAAGTTTTTCTATAAAATAAAATTTTGAATTTTTTAAATTAGCTCTATTTAAAATTTAATAAAAAAATCCAAAAGAAGAAAAAAAATTTCAATTTTTAATAAATAAAACAATTAAAAATTTTTTGCCAACTTATTTCGCCATAAATAACTTCAATCAAAATCCGACAAAAAGCATTAAACACAAAATCTAAAAAATAAATCCAACTCTAAACTAAGATCATTAGTAATCCTCAATCCTTCATAATTCTGACACGGTAATTCATAGTTTCAGTGCAATAGTGACATTAATTCAATCGACGAGGTCTCGTCAAGGAGTTGATTGTACGCCCGTTGGCATTTTAATTCGTCTTGGATGTTGGATGTCGGCATATATAATACACACCACACTAGTACAGTAAATACCTCAGATGAGGACTGTAACAACCAGGCTGGCTCTTTCATTTGTTAATGTAAGAACAGCCTATGGTGTGTATATGGTGTGCATGGTGTGTATTGCCATCTCAGTCCTGATCACACCGACAGGCTGCAGCTTCTGCTGCTATGTTGATGATGCCGTGTCTTGTAAAATTAGTTTAATATCTTACACGTATATTTCAAGAGTAAATTGAACGCCGCTCTGAGACATACGTAACAATATATCCAACAACAACAACAATAATAATAATAATAATAATAATAATAATAATAATAACAATATATTAACAACACAAGCTGTGGATAAACGCGCATCAGATAGAGAGGAGCCGAAGAAACGGCAAGTTGGTGATGGCCGTTGTTCATTTAGCGATTCGCCACGCGCTCAGGGTGCCTCCGGCGGATCCTCATCGCGATATATTCTTATTCTCACAAATATATATGTATTGTATGTTCTATACAATAGTACACACCAATACAATGCTAAAAAATAAAAAAACACAATACTTTTGAGAGTAAGTTAGAGTTAACTATAAGTATGAGTCTTTCTCTCTCCATCCCAATTTCATTTCTATTTACTTCCCCCCTTACTATATATATATCTGTATACATATAAGGATATTATATTAAATTAAAGAAACTCTCAACATCATGATGCGCTGGTATAGTATTAATATTACATGATGCTGATGAGACTTTATAAATGCATTTAGGGTAACTGTGAAATTGATGATCCGACAAAAACGAGTCAACTACCCTTATATGCC